CAATAAATACGCAAAAATTAGATAGTTCGTGGAAAGACAACGAAAGAGCCAAGAGAAATTGTGCCGAGAACCAACAAGACCGCAAGGGCAGGCAAAGTATGTAGAAACCGATTAGGAGTAAAAGCAAGCATCCTAAACGATCTTAGAAGGGTGAAAATAAAGAAGAAAGAAAATATTTAAAAGAGGGGAACGAACCATAACGTAAAATTGCAAAATTTGTTAATGGGGAAGAAGAGGAATAAGAGAGGAGTGCCGTACTAAGGAAGAGTTGTCGATGTGGAGAACGTAATGCTAGATTAACGGGAACACGCCAGAATAATTACCCAAGTGTCATACCCAACTTCAAAACAGGCAGGCAATGAGGCTTACCAGGTTGGAAGCAGAAGTGTTGTGTATTTGGCCCCTGAACAACAAGACATTGTCCCGGTGAGCCGAGACCGGCCTCAAAGAGGATATTGTAGACGAAGGACTCCACGGTGACGTCAGGGGGGAGATGAGGTGATCGAAAGAATATTAACGACCAGAGGTCCTCCAACCAACCGAAGAGTCCGTGGGCAAAGGGCCATCGTGACAGGACACCAATAGCCTGTAATGGAAGGCTTGGTCAGAAAATGTCTGCACGCTGGATGATTAACAAAAGGAAAAAAACAGCTGTGATCTTATTTAGTATTCTTTTGAGTATTTGTAAACAGATCCGGAGATTATAGCCAGAAGGTCCTGCGAACAAACTTCAGGAAAATGAGAAACGTTAATATAGGATGCACGCTGTTAGGCTTCGGACGGTGACTGTCAGTCTGACCACCGTCGGTCAAAAGAAGAGTACTTGAATCTAATTGAATCTGCTCATCTCCGAATTTTTTTCCTTTTCGGCACTGTGTCCACCCCACCTCGGGCGACCGATCAGCTGGCGGTAGGAGGGAGAGAGAGAGTGAGGTCGAACGTCAGCGCATTTCTTTTCTCACTACAATCAATATGAAGAGCTTGAAGCTAGCGCGGTGCG